TATAGGCCATTAAGAGAAAACACTGCACATGAAAAACAAATGGATTTGAAGAATGGAAAGGAGCACAAGAGGAACATTGTATCTCTGAGTCCCTTCCAACTCATTCATCTAGTGAAACTTTGAGATCAGTAGCACATTGGATAATTGGTATGGGCAAGTGAAGGACATCTCTGTGCCTACATCTTTCTGATTCTCTCAAAGTATTGCATCCCAGGAGGGCTAGGAGAACAACAAAGGAAGGCGTTAAAATAACCAGGTTTTTATATAAAATACTCATTTTACAAATGAGGACTTAAATTCCTCTATTTTTATTGAAGTGACATGTAGCAGAGGATCTGATTTGAGATCTCTTGAACTAAATCTTGAAATACCTTATCTCCAGGCACCATGGGCTGTGTCTGCCCAGTAAGTTTGCAGACGAAAAGGAGCACAAGAGGAACATTGTATCTCTGAGTCCCTTCCAACTCATTCATCTAGTGAAACTTTGAGATCAGTAGCACATTGGATAATTGGTATGGGCAAGTGAAGGACATCTCTGTGCCTACATCTTTCTGATTCTCTCAAAGTATTGCATCCCAGGAGGGCTAGGAGAACAACAAAGGAAGGCGTTAAAATAACCAGGTTTTTATATAAAATACTCATTTTACAAATGAGGACTTAAATTCCTCTATTTTTATTGAAGTGACATGTAGCAGAGGATCTGATTTGAGATCTCTTGAACTAAATCTTGAAATACCTTATCTCCAGGCACCATGGGCTGTGTCTGCCCAGTAAGTTTGCAGACGACACCAAGTTAGTGTCGACTTGCTTGAGGGCAGAAAGGCTTTGCAGAGGGATCTGGACAGTCTGGATCAATGGGCAGAGGCCAACTGTATGATGTTCATCAAGGCCAAGAGTCAGGTCCTGCATTTGGGTCACAAAAACCCCATGCAACACTACAGGCTTGGGGAAGAGTGGCTGGAGAGCTGCCCAGCAGAAAAGGACCTGGGGGTGTGGGTGAAATGCAGCTGCCCAGCAGAAAAGGACCTGGGGATGTGGGTGAACTGCTGGCAGAATATGAGCCCGCAGTGTGCCCAGGTGGCCAAGAAGGCCAACAGCATCCTGGTCTGTATCAGGAACAGTGTGGTGAGTAGGACTGGGGAAGTGATCGTCCCCCTGTATCACTCTCTACAACTACCTGAAAGGAGGTTGTAGTGAGGTAGTGAGGTGGGGGGTCAGTCTACCTAGTAACAAGTGATAGAACAAGAGGAAATGGCCTCAAGTTTCACCAGAGGAGGTTTAGATGGGATATTAGGACCAGTTTTTACACTGAAAGGGTTATCAAGCATTGGGAGAAGCCACCCAGGGAAGTGGTGGAATCTCCATCCCTGGAGGTATTTAAAAGACGAGGAGACGTGTTGCTTAGCAATATGGTTTAGTGATGGTTTTTATCTGTTAGGTTGATGGTTGGACTAGATGATCTTAAAGGTCCCTTTCAACCTAGACAATTCTATGATTCTATGGATTGCTTTGTTTTTACAATATAAGTCACTGAAAAGAAGAAGCAGCATAGAACCTTTGGGATCTCATGCTGTGAGCACCATTTACACATTGTGCCCATTTCATTAGTATGATGCTGGACAGGCTGTAAGCAGAAATAAGTGTTGTGTTACCTGCATTTGTATTTTTTAAGTTGTTCTTAGGTTGTGTTTTTTTTTTCCCAGATCCTAATGACAATATGTAATGTAGTTACTAATGTCTACAGACAAATGAAGACATTACAAGAGCAGTAACAGTTATTGAGATCAGCAAGTATCTAATATGTAGTTCCTAAGCAACAGATTGGGCATAACTATTATTGTTTGCCAAAATCAAATGAGAAATAGGAAAGTCTCTGCATTAACTAAGGAGAAATTGGTAAGGATAGTAACAAGGAACAGATGCTTATACTGTCGTTCCTATTGAAACTGGTCATAATACTCCTGATCTGTCTCTGACAGAGGAGAAATTGGCCTCTTGGTTGCTCTATCTAGTGAACATAAAGGTGGATGTGATTTGTCTGTTGTGCAAATGTAGCCACAATGGAAAACAGGAAGTTACTTTATATACCTTGACCCTTATATAAAAAATGAAAAGACCATTTAAATATTCTTGTGTGTGTGCGTGTGTAAGACTTTCATGGTAACAACTGTAAGAATAATAAAAGCGAAATACATTTTCAGCAACATTCATATGGTATCACCAGCTTGAGTGCAGTACCCCTGAATTGCATTAGTGTCATGATCCAAACACTGAAGTGTTCACTCACGTTTTTCCAGTCCTATCTCTAAGTTCTACAGAAAGAAGGGAAGAAGCTACTAAAATATTGGAAAGAGAAAAAGCTGCTAGTTTTGAAAAAGAAGAAAAGTTATTTGCAAAATTGTAACTTTCCATTAGAGATTTTTAAAATAAATCAAATTGATCGGGAGTTCTAGATACATGAAGGTTTGAAGTGAAACACTGCCAATAGTCTTGTACAGTACTCAGAAAAGTTTCTTGAGTGAAAAAGTTTGCCACAACTTTTTTTCAATTTTCCCTCAAACTCTCAGTGTTTCCAAACTAAGCCTAATGGAAGGAGGAAGAGGAAAAAGACAAGAACAGGACTTCTGAAAATTTCTGCTGTGTTTTTTGAGAGTCCTCAGACTGGGTGGGATTCATTTTGGCAAACTTTACTACAGCCTGGAGGTGCCTACCTCTAAGCTATTCTAGGTTCCCTGTGTGATCTGCAGAGAAAAGTAGGCTCTTTTAAGGCGTGACTCATGTCATCTATTTGTAACACCTGCTCTCAGATAAGATGTCCATATAGGAGCCAAGGGTGTCTGGCTCAGATCTATACGTCTACACTTGGTCAGATGAATCTTACCCAGTATGTCTATGCTCCAGACTGCCAAGAAACAAGATAAATTTAGCTGCATAGAGCTCAGTGCTGTCACAGCAGAGTTTCTGAAAGCTAGCTCAGGTATTTCTGACTCTACAATGTAGTTTTCCATAAGACAGTGTCCACCTGAGATGCCAGAGTACCTCATGGTACTCACAGCTCAGGTGTTTCAGGCCCTTCTTTTCCATGGCTGCCATCCCTAACTGGGCATTTTGTGCTACATAACCATCAGGCAGTCAGGAGACACTGGAAACCACCCTGTGTCCCATGTGAGACTAAGGAAACCAGGGGATACTTATATATGTATAGTGAAGAAATATCCAGTAGGAGTTAGGGGATGATAGGACTTCTGTACTGGGAAACTGCTGCTGTGGTCTGAGTCCTCTTGTGGTGCTGATGTTTTAAACGCCTCTGAAATCCTTCCAGCAGAGTCAGAGATCTGGACATGCTGCCTGTCAGTAGAACCGAAGAAGCTCAATCTTTTCATTTTGCCAAAGAGAAGGTTAGCACATTACTTTATCGTGGTTTAAGAGTTGCTACACAGCGACATTTCTGATACGGGATGACAATTTAATCTAGTGAATGAAAGTGTGATGCTACTCAATCTCTACAGTAAAACCAGATTAATTCAGGCTACAAAAAGGAGCATATTTTTTTACAGCAAGGCTAAATAACTGCTGGAATAACTTTATCTAAGAGTTTTATGGATTCTTCTTTTCCTTGAAAATCCTTTTTAATCTAGATATGATACAGCACAATGAACTCTTATTGCTTTAATGAAGGAATTAAACAGTGAAATGTTATGGTCTGTGAAGTGAGACTCTGATATCCCTTCCGGCCTAAAAAGCTGTTTAATGGGCCAAACACAGCATCAGATCCCAATGTGTCTGAGTCCTGTGAAATCTGCATTTCAGAAAGGGCTGCTCAACCTTTCCAATTTCCAATGCAATCACTGTCAATCACCTGGTCCTATCTTCCTCACATTCTGTTCCTTTAACATGGTTTTTGATCTGAAACTGTGCTCTGTGAACTAGCTTTCTGTGAGCTGGACTCGTTATATAGAAATGTAGATAAGGGAGCTGTAGAAGCAGAGTGTGCTGGAGCTGAAGGTCGTGACTGTGAGGTATGTCACTGGAAAGTTCTAAGTCCTAGACTTCGGTTTGAGGTATTTTACTTTTACTACTAATACTCTGCTGGATTTTTTTCACCATTACGAACCAGAATACCTTTGGTAGACCAAATATAAATCTCCCATTTAATTTTGACAGAAGAAAGTGAATACCTCTTTTACAGGTTCCTGTATTAGCAATCTAAGCTGTCTTCGCTTCTCATAGTGGAAGAAATTTGAATTCTTGCTTTGCACCACTCTCTAGGGGATGCTCTGTTGATAGCTAAAATTATTGTAGGATATGAATCTTTGCCAAAAGTTTGTTATTAAATGATAGGTACATCTCCCTCCTCCTCCCCCCCCCTTCCCAAAGCTTACCTTTGTATCTTCAATGCCAGTGCTAACGAGAATTTGTCTCTCTTTCCCTCTCCTTGCTCAGATTTTATCAAGGCTGAGCAAGATCTTGGCCACACCAGAATTTCTCATCCCATCAGCTAAATATGTTTATCCTTTGAATATTTTTGGCTCAGGCAAAACTACAATGTTTCTGTTAAAAAGCATAGGATTGCAATTCCATATGGTCTGCTTTGTTTTGTAGATGTTCTCATTGGGGGTGTGTTCCCCTCCCTTCTCCGGTCAAAGCATGCAGGGCTCACAGCTGAGATGAACTGCAAAAGATTCCTGTAATGTGTTCCCCTACATTTACCAAGAGGCTAAAAAATGGAATACATCTTGGAAGATGTATTGCAGCACAGCCCCTAGAGACACGTGGAAGCACTGATCATATGAACTAGTTTCTGAAACTGAAATTTATTTTAGAGTGGAAACATCTTTTGGTTTTTGCACAATTGGATTTTTTACTCTGTAATTAAATAAAAGCAGCTTCAAAGAAAGCAGAAGCAGCTTAAAGAAATGATGCATTTTATAGAGGAAAAAAAACCTGTCATAGTTAAGATTTAAATTTTTTCACTGATCCTATCCATTTCTTTTTGACAGAATGGCGATATCAGTCATCCAATGCTGTAGCAGCACTCTGATCTGCAAGACTGAGAGATTTTGAAAAGCATCTCATCTAGAAATCAGACCTTTTGCATAAAGGCTTTCAGATGACACTTCATCCTACAGCTGTGTCTTCAGGAAGGAGCTTCTGCATGGGAATGAAGGTACTCCTCTTCCCCTTCCCTTTCCCTTTCTCTTTCCTCTTTCCTTCCAGGCCCACTCACTCTGTGTGTTCTTGGTTGTCTTGGTCTGGTGCAGTCTATCATACCTCCTGGCTGCTTGAGGGCAAGCCAAGGTTTCAGTTCACTTCCTGCTTGCTTCTACTCAGGAGCAAGGCAGCAGATAAATTCTTAACTAAGGTCCTTTTCTTATAGTTTCTGTTCCTAGGGGTCCTCTTTTTCCTTGCCAAAATGTCTTTTGATCTATCTCTCCCAGCCAAAATTCATGAAATGTGCATGACCCCTCACAACGCTCTCACTCATTGCTGTCAGCTTTGAAAAAAACAGTGATGCTCATAACTGAAATCTGCTGTGATATTGCTGTGGTATGAATAAACACTAGAGCTTGGGCTTTGGAGTGGTTTTCTAGTAGAAAAGGGCTTACATTTCTACACTTCATTAGTATAATATTGCCAAGTCATACAAAATGATGATGTGTAATTGAGAATAAAATTAGGAGATGTCATGTGTCCCTTTTATAATCATATATAGGAATTTCATAGGGCATACGCATGAAGCAAGAGGATAGAGTTAAAGGCACTGTGATAAGAAAGCAGTTAAACTTCTCAGAGTCTGTAGGTTTTAAACTCTTGAATTAAACATGTACGGTACATTTTACACTGTACTAAAAAAAGTGTAATGGCCACACATTAGCTTTGGAGAGTGATGCAAATTGCACCATTAAATGTCATCTTTGCATTTAGGTTTGTAACTATTTGTTGTTATATCAAAACATAACTGCATTTTGCTCTTGCTTGCTTTAGAGAACCAGTTTGGATTTAGGAGAGGAACTTCGCTCGTCTGTTTAGTGTGCATATTATTAGCAAACATTGTTAGGCTAGTAACATGGGAGTCATCTACCCTAAGTTTGATGTCTAAGCCTAAGTCAGTCCCCTTAGGCTCCATTTGCAGGCAATGAAGTGAATAGACAACTCCAGAAGGTGATGCCTCTCGTGCTAAGTCAGCTCAGATAAGGGAGATTAATTGCTCTTTACAGGTGCTTTTTTTTTTTTTTTCCCAGTTATCAGCTAGAAAAAAGGACTGGGCTAGGCTTAGATCTTTCTTTGTTTCTTTATTTGTCGTTGTTTGGCACCTCAGGTAAAGAGGATAAACCCGTATTTTGTCACGGATCAATGGAACAGCTTTCAGGTCACGTTAATTTTCATAAGATAAGGTTTATTTGTATCACTGAAACTCTTTGTAGTAATATGCTTGTTTTGCAAAAGAAGTATTTCAGGGAAGGGAAAGAAAAGGATCAAAACCTTCAAGTGACCTAATGTGGGGTTTCCTGTTTTGTTTGGATATCCCTTACAGCAGCAGTAGCAACCCTGTAGATACAGAAGAGGGTCCAGTGGGTCATCAAGATGCTCAGGGGCTGAAAGCACCTCAACTACAGTGAGAGGCTGAGGGTATCAGTGAAGAAGTTGAAGGGCAGGTATAAGTATATAGTAGCGTATACCTATTTAAAGAACAGTTATAGAGATGACAGTGCCTAAAGTCTTCTTGGTGGAGACAGGTAATATGGCAAGGGATAAATGGCCACACTGAGGCTTGGAGGGCTCAGACTAGATGAGGAGAAGCCATGAAGGTGGAAGGTGGTGCAGCACTGAGACAGGTTTCGCAGAGCAGTGATGCACTCTCTGCCCTTCAGGGTGTTCAAAACTGAGCTAGATAAAGCCATGTCAGAGCTGATCTGGTGCTGTCAGCACTCCTGCTTTGGTCAGGAGGCTGGTCTGGGTGACCACCAGAGGTACCTTCCGACCAGCATCCCTGTAACTTTCTTCCCTTTACTCTAAGGAAACCAATCTCTTCCTATGCAGCTCTACCCTCAAAATCTGGAGCCTGACCCTGGTTGCCCATTCCCAACCCTCCTGTGTTTCTATCCCCATGAACTGCAGGCAGGTGGCCGCAGCAGGTCCTGATGAAGCGTCTGTGCAATATGGGGGTACTCTGCTACTGTTCCCAGCTCACAGGCCACTTAAAAATTGCTTCTAATGATGACAGTGTATCATTCCACTTAGGGTGCTGTTCTGTGGCACCTGCGTTCAAATCTCTGCTATGCTCAATACCAGTGAGGGGGCTGAAATTACATTGCCTGTGTGTAATGTGGGTGTGTTTTAATGATTGGGCTATTGTCTTTCTGGGGGAAAAGCCAGAAACAAACAGATCTTCTGAGGGGCTCCGTTTTCCCCAGCTAGGAAGCTGGTGTACAGGATGAGAACAGCTAATGCTTTCTTAGCTCTATATGCAAACAGTGATTTCAGAATCTTAATTTCCTGTTGGGAAACTGGAACTAGACAGTACCCTTTTTGAAAAATAAGCTATTTTTGCAAGCCTGGTCATTTTGAAACTGTAACTACTTACAATCTTGGAGATTTGTGGGGGAAAATTAGTTAAAGGTGAGAAATATGGAACTAGAGAGTGCTGTTTTAGCATTGCTCTTCAGCATGAAAGGGCACCTTAAAATCTTCCATAGCTTGCATTAAGTCGTCTTGAAACTTCCTTCTGTCTCATTAATCCCAACCTATTTTAGATTATATAAACAAATGCCACTTCTTTTGAATGTTATCACTTTAATCCCTCTTCATCTTGAATTCACTCCAGGAAATCATATTTTTTATCGACTGAAAAGATTGTCAAATGAGCACAGCTTTTTTGGTAGTAGAATCAATTTATTTATTTATTTTGTTATATTAGTGGTATCATCTTTCTCAATTTCCAGGCTAAGCATAGTACAATGTATATTTTTAAATTCCAACTTATTGCAGCTTGAAGGCTTGGAGAACTGTACTAAAAGAACTCTTGAGTCTTTTTGTTTAACGCTCCATCAACCTTGTACACTGTTCTGGTTCTTTGCCCTCAGAGAAGTTATTTTATATTTGGTTGATTTAAAACTGCATTTTTTTATATTATTGATCTATTCAGTGACTACAACTTGCAGATCCCTAGCATTGTACTGTGGTACTGCACATTATGCTTTGTTTCCAGCAAATAAAACCAGTAAAAACTTATGTGCCCTAAGACAAATAGGAATCTTGCATTGTCTCTGTGTGCTTAAAACACTGGAATACTTGAAAGAGTCCTCCTCCTCAATTCCTTTTTCTGAGCTTCATCAGTGCACTTTCACAGTAATCTGTCTCTGTCACACATCCCTTCTTATTTCACTTTTTAACAATCCCCTTTGTATGGAATCACTCAGCCTTCATAAAAAGACAAAAAGAAGAAGAGGTGGAACTTTTCTGCCTTTGAAATGCATGGAAGGGTGTATTGGAGGACAGTAAAGACAGCCAGAGCTCTCCCTGGATGACACCAGGCTGGGTGGGTAGTTGATAGGCTATAGGATGGGGCTGCTCTTCAGAGGCATCCAGCTGGCTGGCCAAAATGGTGAAGTCCAGTACCTGGGATGGGATAACCCCATATGACAATACAGGCTGGGGTAGCTTTTCAGAAGAGGACATGGGGCCCTCATGGACAGCACAGCAGTGTCCCTGGTAGCCATGGAGGCCACCACAAACTAGGATGTGTTAGTACAAGGTTCATAGAATCATAGAATGGTCTAGGTTGGAAGGGACCTTTCAGATTATCTAGTCCAATCACCAACCTAACACTCAGGAACACTCAGGAAACCATATTGCTAAGCACTATGTCTACCTGTCTTTTAAATACCTCCAGGGACGATATTCATGAGGCTTCATTTGGAATCCTGTGCCCATGGGTGCTCAAAACCAGATGGAGTTATGTTCCAGATAAACGTCATGCTTTAGCACAGCAGCATTGGATATGAGTGATATCCATGTGTGTAGAACAGCACCTGCTGGGGCATGCTCATAAACAACGGAAATCATCAGTGGTCATTATAGAAGAATAGAAGAGCTGGCAAGACAGCAAGCTAGGAAAGTTGAGTAGACAGGGTAAATTCTAGTAAGTTTTGGTGTCTAAAGCAGATTTTTGTGAGCAGTCTGACTCCTACACCTCACACATGTCAGGGGTGATGTCGTCCAGAGATTTCTTTTAAAAGGGAAGGGAATACTGGAGACATGAAGTGCTAGCAGGCGGTGGAGATCGGGGGTTCAGATCAGGCTGATTTCCCCCAGAGGTCTTGATTTTTCTCTGTAAACTACAGGTGGTGTGTAGGACAACAGCTTTTAAATGGGGTGTCACATCTATGTTTATAAAGCTAGGCAAGATGAATCTGGGTCAGTTCTGGGCTGAGTTTTGTCAGTAATAATGCAACCAGAATTAAAGCTCTGGAGAGTTTACATTTGCATTTCACTCTGTTCTCAACTGCACCCTTTTGGTGCAGCCTGGATTTCAATCTGACTCACCACTACATTTTTAAATGTCAGTCCCCAACTTGTTAAATCACATCCCTAACTCTTACGCAAGGAAACTAATTTATTTTAAATAATTAGGCTTCAAATTTAGTCTTTTCCTCCTCTTAAAACTGTAATGCAGCAGTCCGAGAAAGAGCAGATTTGTACCAGTTGATTGTGGCAAGTGCATAGTCTGTACTGAAGAGGACATCAGTAGCAGAGGTAAAGATTATGCATCAAACATACAAGATGGGGCCCGATCTGCTATGAAAATATGCTGAGGAGGTGAGGACAGCTACTTCAGCTATCAGCTACACCACAGGTTTGGGATTGCTGATTCAGAGCTGTATCCTCACCTGTCTGGCACACTCTGACAGAGCTGCAGTGAGGTCCTGTCTTGCTTGTCACTTGCTGCTGCATTTTACTTTGTTCTGGGGTCATCTGTCCTGTCTCCCATGACATGGACAGTCACCTAGTGCCAGGGCCACAGGAGTGGTGGAAGGTTATCTTTCTTAAGAGCTAATGTCTGCCAACAGAGAGCTGCTGCTCTGCTGGAAGAACACGAGAGATTTGGTGCCTCGGGCTCTTCCAAGTGCATTCAGGCTGTGTCTGAGCTGCCTGCTGTCCTGGACA